CAAATACATATTTTTGATTTTAATGCAGAACTGAAAACGGAACGAAATGATGAAAAAGCGAGGCCAAAGTCTATCAACGAGTTTGTTTTTGATATTTTGATATTATATGTAGTAGCTGAATACATACATTTAGCTCACGGAGAAAAGCGACAAAATAAGTAAAGAATAATTATCTAATACACTTAAATAGTAGCTTAAAACAGCTCGCCAAAATGCGGTAGAAATATATAAAATTTAAGGAGATGCATGGGAGGAGGAGGAGGCGAAGGCTATTGACTAAAATAAGCATAAATAGAAGAAATATATACAAATGCTCATCAAATAATCGGGTCCATAATAATTGCTTGCTTAACTAGTAGGCAACAACTAAACAGTAGGGGTGGGCGTGGTCGGATCGGTTATTACAATCAACTGTACCCATTTTCAAGTCTCTAAACCATTTTTTTTAGTTTATACCAAAATATCGGCTGTCTGGCACAATTTGCATTGTAGGAATCTTTTTGTTTCCGGACATATTTCCACTAGACTAGTCTCATGAATTTGTTTGGTTTTTATGTCTTTTGTCTTTTTATTGGTGAACTCAACTCAAACGCAGCATGTCTAAGCTACGCGAGTAACACGACTTTTTGTCCGAGGCATTTGTTTATATCGCATTCGCAAGAATCATATCGGAATGAATTACAATACATGGCGCATATAGGTCTGACGAACCCAAGAGCCTGGATTTGCGGCGGCACCCTGATACATAGTAAATTTGTTCTTACCGCGGCCCACTGTGTCATTCTAGAGCGGGCTGTTGGTACGGAAGAGCCGTAAGTACATTTAAATTCATACATATGTACATATGTATGTATATCAACATCGTCAGATAGTGTGCATGTATTACTATATACATATGTAATATTTGATCGAAAATATTTTCTTAGAGGTTTTTTGGTGCGCCTAGGAGGTCACAATAGCACTGACGGCGCAATATATGAAGTAGCTGAAAAAATCCCGCACCCCGACTATAAAGAAGAAGACGGGACAAAAAACGATATAGCTTTATTGAAATTGACCAAAACAGTCGTCTTTAATGACCAAGTTAAGCCAGCCTGCTTACCAACAACTAGTGGACAAGAGCATGCGAAGATGACAGTCTCTGGATGGGGATTATATAGCAGCTACGAACCCAATAAACCAGCCCCTCAGTTGCGCAAGGCTGACGTAACACTGTTTAAATATGCCGAATGCAATGAAGAAAATGAAGTGCTACAGGAAATGAAGATTTGCGCTGGTGGAGAGAACGATGCAAGCGATTCATGCCAGGGAGATTCGGGAGGACCACTGGCCATATGGCATCCGGAATGGGGCTCGTGCCTGGGGCAGGTATTCGGCATTGTTTCTGAAGGATCGTTTTGTGATACAAAATCTCCACGGACGATTTACACTAGAGTTTTTTATTATCTTCAATGGATTGAAGACATAGTATGGAAACCCAGAGAAGAAACTGAACTAAACATTACGATTCGCTAACGAATGCATTACCTTGTCAGCGGCAGAGTGGAAATAAAAAGAAATACACAGAACCTCTGCAGGCATGCTGATGTTTCTGATACTTTAACATTTTCATCAACAACATTTAACATTAAAAACATTTACGTACTTTGTTTGTTTGTGCCTATTTGGTTAAGCTGTTCCAGCTCTCTTCAGAAAGTACGTATGATCTACAATTCAATTTATTAACGAAAAAAAAAGGAAACCATTATTAAATAAAAACGAATCGTACGGGAGCGGCGGAACACGTGCCGCTACTCTGCAATAGCAAAGACAATATTAATGGTAAGATGTACAGTGGCTATCTTAGTCGGACACTAGTTTCCTCAGTACAAATGTGCTAAAAAATGAGGATTATGGTCTTTTCACTTATATTATCGGTTGTGGGTACTTGTACAGCAGCAGTACTTGTACAGCAAGCAGACACTATTGATCTGAGTGTGCATTGTGAGTCGAGTTTGTTGACAGTACGCAAAACGATATAACGGAAAAGGTCGTTGTTGAATGTTGAATGTTTGTTGAATGAACCGGCACATCTACATATCTACTGTATGGTTAGTGCCACAGCGGACGACGTTGGACGTTAGTTGGACAAACGAGCATGATTTTCCCCAAGGGTGTACTTAATTGAAAATTGATTTATTGGGCTTAAAAATATTTTCCAAGAAGATGAATTCTATACTGAGCACTGTTGGCACTCAGATGAAAGTATCTCTAAAACAAGACTTTACCAAATTCTTTCAATGTCGAAAAAACGTTGAACAACGTTAAACGTTGTTTTCGATAGCTGAACCCAAAAAGATCCCATTAGATGCGAGGAAAGGTCTGCAAGGCGGATGACCCTTTGATTCGATATTTTGGATGGTTCAAAAATGTGTTGAGTGGGCCTATATGTGAGAGAGCGCTTATTGTGGTATTCTACAACAACTTCCGACCAGCTTCCGATACTCTTTTTGCCCGATTTTTAAATTGGGTGGGCTCCAACGCAAACACATCTGTTTACACACGAGGTGATCATGGACGTTGTACTAATGTCCAATCCTCAAGTATTTCTCTCACAGCATCACAGCATGACCATTCTGTCTTGTTGGGACTATCGTGACATTTAAGTTTTTCTGTATATGATTCTCCATGCTGAGTGCATACAGGGTAATTGTCGTTGTGTATCCATTTCAATTGTCTTCATTATTTTGACTGATACCAGCAATTTATGTACTATACCTTTTGGAAAAAAGCATTCACAGATACTGAGCGGTATATAATGTTCCTGTATGGTTTGATTGTATGGTGTCAACACAGCTTAAGAGAAACGATAATTAAGAGAAAACATATTCGATCCCCCCCTCGAGAAACCGTGGGTACGCCCTAGCCGCTGGTCATAAAATTCGTTGTAGTTGTAGTTGTAGTTGAGTTGTAGTTGTAGCCACTCCCATTCAGACCTGCATCAATATTTTTGTAACGATCCCTTGAACATCTCTCCAAAACTCATGTTCGATGAAGCGAGCCTAGCTGGTCTCCTACGTCCAGATATTCCATTACGACTCAAGTAACTCACTGTGGAAACTACTGCATTGCGCGCGTCATCACTGACAGAATCTGTTCAATCATTTCGCATCTTGCGTGCTATGTTCCGTCAGTTCGTTTTGATAGCAGCGATCTGGCCCCGGTGGACAATTATCAGCCTCAATGTGGAATGAATTTTGCAAGCAAGCAAAAAATAAAATGTGCAAGATTCCAATAAATTCCCACATAGTATATGAACATATGTATGTACATATGTTATTCTGTTTGTTCAGCAACTCTATTTCCCCTCTCTTTCGAAGAAAAGTCAAATGTCTGGTTCAAATATACGACTAAATTGTGCAATTCGATTCTAGTGGCCAGCGAATAGCTGAAAGCGGAGCTGAAAATGTATTTACAATCTCCTATAAACAAACAAAACAAGAACAAGAACTCTAGAACAAGAACAACCGCTAGTAGAGATTAAAAGAGCCATTCGGCATGTCGAGCGACCAGGGCACGACGAAGAGCTCAAACGTGGAAAAATAGACCTACTATCAAACCTTTCGGTTTTTACTGGTCAGCCATTTGTACTCATCTTCGATGAGTACCACATCCCACTGCTCTTGACTGTGTTTCCACCACGCTGGAAAGTGCTAGCAATAGCTGGCTTAAAACGGAACTAGCTTCCGTTTCATTTACTTGCGTGTGGTGCCCATAGCTCAAGCACTTCCGATTGATGGTGCCCGTTCCAAACTGGGCTTAAAAAAAATAAACGCGGCCTTAAGTATCGTCCTGCAAAGGACTGTGGATATGGGCCTAGCAGACAACCTAATGGCTGTTGTCTGCGATGGTTGCCCAGCCAATGGGCTAGCCGTCTCAAATGCCAATTGGAATTTTCCAGCTTTGTGTGATTTCCCCCATCTAGATAGGATTTTTTACAACAGCAAAAAAGCGCCCTTCTCCGATATCATTCTTAGAAATTTATACAATTCGAGCTTCACGCCAACGAATTGGAGGGACGTCTTTGATAATTTGCCAGATTATCACCCAATAGTCCCCACGGAGTATCATGATTATTATACAACAGAGCTATTCAACATCAGAATGATGGTTGACAAATTTTTTTTGGTTCCGCGCGCAACCCCATTGGAGCTAAGGGACATAAATTCCAATAAGCTCGAAGCAATGGGTTTCATCATTAAAAGGCTTGCGGCGGACATTGTAGATTACGCATCCCACATTAGCCAGCCTAATGAATTTCAAGAGGATGCTCTCTATTTTATAGCCCGCTTAGTCGGCACTCTAGCTCTATTAGCTCAAGGAACCGCGTAGAAAATCTCTTTTTCAAAGTTTTACTTAATTTGCAAGTTGGCTGGAAGCCCTAGGTCCTGTCGAAGTACAAATTCGACGATTAATATTACATTTATTGTTAATAACTTGATACTTTCAGACACCCCGACGATCGATGCCCCGCCCTAAAAGTAAATATAGTGGATTAGGCCTATTGGGGATACCACTTTAAAAAAAACGCGCCAAAAACTCGACCTCTTGGGTGGTGTGGAATGAGTTTATTACCATAAATAAATAAATCCGGTCCCGCAAGATTGCTGAAAGCGTTGGCCAGCTCAACCTTTAACTGAGCTCCGACGTAGCTCTATCTGGTCCGACGTACACGGATCCCTATGCCTCTCCGACCATACTCCGCTAAAAACTTGACTGCTGTTTCGTTAACGGGATAGCCAGATGCTAGCAACTTCGCCATAAAAGCAGGATTTGCCTCAGGGAATATATGTAGAAGGCTTGACTTCTTCCGTGCTTATTTGTTTCGGTTTTGTTTCCTTGTCCGCGTACTTTGCAAAGGCGTAGAAGGTTACCGGAGAAAATAACTTTCCAATCTGTCAATGGTCGAGAATTAGCCAAAAATGTGTCATACAATTGGTGGTACTTATACTTACTTTGCCTATTCATGCTGAAACTCTTCGGGCGAATCATCCTCTTCCGCTTTTGGCATACTGAGCAACTTGTCCTTCGTTCGTTGGGTACAAGCGCGTACCTTAAACTGGTGTCGCCTTCGGACCTTGGGTCCTTGTAGAAGGCATTGTGGTAGTAGTAGCCTGGCATACTCATCCATAGTCTTTCGCTCCATCTTCATCCGCAGCTTGGTCGCGTTGCACCTCATATGGCATAGCCGGCAGGTTCTCTATTGCATTTTTAAAGTCTTTAATTTCTAAGCGGTCTAACGGTCTTAAGTGTAGTTACTTAATTTCTTCGATGGAGCCATTAAAGCTCGATTTTTGGTTCGGTGCGCGAAAATATCCGAGGCACGGCCATCGCAGAGCAGGGCGGCCGATGCAAAGCTGTGGGAAGGTGGAGTAGAATATTGTTAGTTTAAGAATTTGGGCAGATATCGTGTCTTTCCACTCACCTGGTTGATGGGACACTGAAACTCTCAGGTCGCTTGCAGCAGTCGGCCTCATCGTGGACATTGTCACAGTTGTCACTGGTGGTACCATCGCAGATCAGAGTCTTGTCTCTGCCCTCGGTTGACTGTCAGCTGAACTGATCCGCCGGGCAGTCCTTTCGTCACAGCGCCAGAAGGCGGATATAAAGTCGTTCTTTATGTCACTACTCCCGCCACTTAAAATTATCTGTCCGGATAGACGCCGTAGTTCTCCTTGCCCTCCAGTAGCATCAGAGCATCAGAATCTGGCACGAGCATACGTCGTGAATACTGCGTGTCATACCCCGCTGGCCATGCAGATGTGGAAACACTTTGTGCGACTGTGCAGACAGGTGTGATTGCGCTCCTCTCCAGTCCGGTCTTATCGTCCGACACAAATCTCCCGAAGGCAGAGACCTGCGAGATGTGCATGGAAGCACGGATTTTTCTGTAAAGGGGGAACAGGAGATTACAAGTGTCCAAAGGTGTCCAATATTGGTTGCTTACTAACATCGATACGCATGGGATATCGGACTGTTGGTCTAAGGCCAGAGTCGTGACTTCTTCCAGGTCCACATGCTCATTGCCATCGACTCGGGCCCGAATGATGGCCTGATGGCTGCTGACATCTGTCCAGAAGAGCAGACGCTTCGAGGCTTCGGCGAGTTCGCCCAGGAAGCTATAAGAGGCAACGTTTTAGAACACAGCTGAATAGGGAGAGAGAGCTCCACCTGGGCACGGATAATCTTGCCGGACACCGGCAGCAGCTAATTCGGGCAGTCTGTCGTAGCTGGGAGGGATGCAGGCCACGTCCTTAGCGAGGCTGCGGCTCTGGCCAGTCTTGATCAAAGTCCCCGGTGCTCCAGTCGCTCCAGTAGTCCTAGCCATCCAGTAGAGGAATATGAGCTCCCGGTTATGGTTGCAGCTCGGATTCGTCCATCGTGGCGCGGCTTATGGAGTCCGAGGCGACTCTGTTCAAGTACATGCACCCGCGACGCGTCTCGAGGACGAGGGAACGCGGCTTCTCCACCCCCCTTCCACAAAGCACGACGGCTGCCATCCACGCGGGTGATCTCGATGAGATGAGCCTCCGCATCGGACCGACGCGAGAACAGGCCCCATTCCCCACGTCTTTCCATCGCACCAGACGCTTGTTATTTTCAAAATAAAACGCCGATAATATCCGAGAATAATATCGCACAGAAATAACGATATTTTGAATACATATCGATACACAAAACCAGGACGATGTTTTCCAGCACTCTCCAGTTTTCATCTTCTACAAATCAAAACTAGAGGACATATATTTGTCTCGCTCACACTGCATGCTTTTCCCATAAGGTTTTAGTATCTGGTCTCACTGCCTTAACTCGAAGTGTTAAAATTTATAAATTTAGCAACAGCCACAACTTTTCGACTTGGCAAATTCCACCTTTGCGAAGGCGGGCGGGCCCAAACAATCACACGCCACTCACGGGGCAGCGCGGCGCGGTAACATAAATTCTCAAGCAAGAAAAAGAAGAAAAGGAAAAAAGAAGATACATATACTGAAAACAAGTACAAGAGTGTTGAAGTGTAGTGTTGTTGTTTTGTTCGCTGTGAGTCGGGAATGTGAAAAAAATAAAAAAGGAACACAAATCGATTAAATCGAACATGCAGCTATTTCAAAGGCACAGCTGAACACCACTTTAATCAGTTGGTGTGTGTTGTTCGTTGTTCGTGAGTTTGGTGTTGGTTGTTGCTGGCTAATACAAACAACAAGAAGAGTGAGCTGAACGCGACGCTGACAACGACAGCGACGCTGGCAGCGACGGCTCTGCCGCGGAGAAAATGTTTTCCGGACCCGGTAGCCATGCCATTAGCTATAGCGGCGGGATCAGCATTGGGGGGGGAGGCAGTGGCCTGCACCAGGATTGCGATGGCTATGACTTCACGAAGAACGAGAACGCGGCGCGTTGGCGTGGCCTGTTCATACCCTCATTGAGAAAGGTGCTAGAGCAGGTGCATCCGCGGGTGACGGCCAAAGAAGATGCCCTCCTCTATGTCGAGAAGCTGTGTCTGCGTCTGTTGGCCATGCTCTGCGCCAAGCCGCTGCCCCACTCAGTCCAGGATGTGGAGGAGAAGGTGAACAAATCATTTCCAACGCCCATCGACCAGTGGGCCCTCAAGGAGGCCAACGAGGCGATCAACTCGAAGAAAAAGAAGTCCGTTCTGCCCACCGAGCGTGTACACACCCTGCTCCAGAAGGATGTGCTGCAGTACAAAATCGATAGTTCGGTGTCCGCCTTTCTGGTGGCAGTCCTGGAATATATCTCTGCGGATATACTGAAAATGGCCGGCGACTATGTGTGCAAAATCTCGCACTGCGAGATCACCAAAGAGGACATCGAGGTGGTCATGAACGCGGACCGGGTCCTCATGGACATGTTGAATCAAAGTGATATTAAGACCAGTCCGCTCTCACTGCCCGCGCAGAGGGCCAGCGCGACCTATGAGGAGACTGTCAAGGAGTTGATCCACGACGAGAAGCAATATCAGCGAGATCTCCATATGATCATACGAGTCTTTCGCGAGGAGCTGGTGAAGATTGTGTCAGATCCCAAGGAGCTCGAGCCAATATTCTCCAACATAATGGACATCTACGAGGTGACGGTCACTCTGCTCGGCTCTCTGGAGGATGTCATCGAGATGTCCCAGGAGCAGAACGCCCCCTGGGTGGGCAGCTGCTTCGAGGAGCTGGCGGAGGCTGAGGAATTCGATGTGTACAAAAAGTATGCCCACGATGTGACCTCCCAGGCGTCACGGGATGCGCTTACCAATCTCTTATCCAAGCCTGAGGTAAGTGCACTTCTGACTGCTGATTCCCAACAAATGCCAAAAACTAATGTTGAATTTTTTTTAGGCCTCATCCTTAATTTCTGCCGGGCACGGTTTTAGAGATGCCGTCAAGTATTATCTGCCCAAGCTGCTGCTGGTGCCCATTTGCCATGCTTTCGTGTACTTCGATTACATAAAACATCTGATGGATCTCAGTTCCTCTCAGGACGACATCGAGAGCTTTGAACAGGTGCAGGGCCTCTTGCATCCACTCCACTGCGACCTCGAAAAGGTGATGGGCAGCGTCTCCAAGGAGCGCCTGGTACCTGTCAGTGGGCGAGTGCGTCGCCAGATGGCCATCGAACGGACACGAGAACTCCAGCTCAAGGTGGAGCATTGGGATGACAAGGATGTGGGCCAGAACTGCAATGAGTTTATACGCGGTAAGTGCGAAAATAAACGAATAAATAATTGTAATTACAAATCGATTCTATTACTTCTGGACAGAGGACTCGCTCAGCAAGCTGGGATCGGGCAAGCGTATTTGGAGCGAGCGAAAAGTCTTTCTGTTCGATGGTCTTATGGTCCTGTGCAAGGCAAACACCAAGAAGCAGACCCCCTCGGCAGGGGCCACGGCCTACGATTACCGGCTGAAGGAGAAGTTCTTTATGCGTCGCGTCGAGATCATTGACCGGGCGGACAGCGAGGAGCTGAAGAACAGCTTCGAGCTAGTCACCAGAATGCAGCCGGCCATTGTCCTGACGGCCAAGAACGCCCAGCACAAGCACGACTGGATGGCAGACCTTCTGATGGTGAACACCAAGTCGATGCTGGACCGCATCCTGGACAGCATACTGCAGGACATCGAGCGCAAGCATCCCCTGCGCATGCCTAGCCCAGAGATCTACAAGTTCGCCGTTCCGGATAGCGGGGAGAACATCGTCTTGGAGGAGCGCGAGAGCGCTGGAGTCCCGATGATCAAAGGGGCCACACTGTGCAAGCTCATCGAACGCCTCACCTACCACATATATGCGGACCCCACCTTTGTGCGCACCTTCCTCACGACATATCGCTACTTCTGCTCGCCCCAGCAGCTGCTGCAGCTGCTGATCGAACGCTTCAACATACCCGACCCCAGTTTAGTCTATCAGGACGCTGCCTTTGGCCCGGGAGCCCTTGGTGGCGGCGGCGGGGGCGACAAGGAGCACAAGAACTCGCAGCGCGAGGACTGGAAACGCTACCGCAAGGAGTACGTTCAGCCGGTGCAGTTTCGGGTGCTCAACGTTCTGCGCCACTGGGTGGATCACCACTTCTATGACTTTGAGAAGGATCCCACTCTGCTCGAGAAGCTGCTGCACTTTCTGGAGCATGTGAACGGGAAGTCGATGCGCAAATGGGTGGATTCTGTGCTCAAAATTGTTCAGAGAAAGGTAAGCCCTCGGCATACGTATTTTTTTACATTTCGGTTACAATGTGTTCCTCTACCTGAACCTGTCCCTGTACCATTTATTGTAGAACGAACAGGAGAAAAGCAATAAGAAGATTGTGTACGCCTATGGCCACGATCCGCCGCCCATTGAGCACCACATGAGTGTACCCAACGAGGAGATCACACTGCTCACCCTCCATCCGTTGGAGCTGGCCCGTCAGCTCACGCTGTTGGAGTTTGAGATGTACAAGAACGTGAAGCCCTCGGAGCTCGTGGGATCGCCCTGGACCAAGAAGGACAAGGAGCTAAAGAGCCCCAATCTGCTGAAGATCATGAAGCACACCACCAATGTGACGCGTTGGATAGAGAAGTCCATAACCGAGGCGGAGAACCACGAGGAGCGCCTGGCAATAATGCAGCGGGCCATCGAGGTGATGATGGTCATGCTCGAGCTGAACAACTTCAATGGAATCCTTTCGATTGTCGCGGCCATGGGCACGGCGTCGGTCTACCGGCTGCGGTGGACATTCCAGGGATTGCCCGAACGCTACAAGAAGTTCCTGGACGAGTGCCGCGAGCTTAGCGACGATCATCTCAAGAAGTATCAAGAGCGGCTGCGCTCCATCAATCCGCCTTGCGTGCCCTTCTTTGGGCGTTACCTGACCAACATCCTGCACTTGGAGGAGGGCAACCCGGATCTGTTGGCCAACACGGAGCTTATCAATTTCTCGAAGCGGCGGAAAGTGGCCGAGATCATCGGCGAGATCCAGCAGTACCAGAACCAGCCCTACTGCCTCAATGAGGAGGCCACCATACGGCAGTTCTTCGAGCAGCTCGATCCCTTCAACGGCCTCTCCGACAAGGAAATGTCCGACTATCTCTACAATGAGAGCATGCGCATCGAGCCGCGTGGCTGCAAGACGGTGCCCAAGTTTGTGAGTATATCAGCCTCGTGGCCTGAAGGGCATCCCGGTTCTAAATCCTTTCGTTTTGTTTGCACATTTCAGCCTCGAAAATGGCCGCACATTCCGCTTAAGTCGCCGGGCATTAAGCCCCGTCGCCAGAACCAGAATAATAACAGCAGTAAGTTATCCAGCACTGCTTCATCGGCGGCGGCAGCCTCATCGGCGGCATCAACGGTAGCGGCAGCAGCAGCAGCCGCAACAGCAGCTGTGCCCCCAACTCAACCAGCTAGCGTGGAAGTGCTACCGAGTGGTGCATCCATTCCCAGCGCTGGTGCTGGCGAACAGAGTCCGCAGCACAATCCGCACGCGTTCTCTGTTTTCGCCTCCGTCCTTCTACCCGATCGGAATGGCAGCACTTGGAGCGGAACACCTCTGCATCATCGGACAACAGCGGAGAACAATGAGGAGGTTGTGGTGCCGGCGCCACATCTGCCCAAGAAGCCGGCGGCGCATGTGTGGACCAACAATGTGGCAATGATGGGTGCTACGGCGTCGGCGATGGATGTGTTTAGTCCAGTGATGTCGGATCACCATGCGCTGCCCCCACAATCGCTGCCAGACAGCAACCCCTTTGCCGTAGGCTCAGACACAGATGCCCTGCCTTCGCCGTTGCCCAAGCTGATGGTTAGTCCTCGCCACGAGACCGGCAATCGGTCACCATTCCATGGGCGGATGCAATACAGTCCCACGCATAGCATTGCCAGCACTGTGACTCTGACGGGAGTGAGCGGAGTCGGAGCCGGAGTCGGACCTGGAGGAGATCTCAGCCCTCAGATGGGTGGATTCTACTACAACAATGCCCACCAGGGACAGACAGGGGCAGTGCCCATCTCGCCGCATGTCAATGTTCCAACGGCCTCAATCCTGGACTATCGAGCTGTGCCCCCCCCACTGCCGCCACGTCGCAAGGAGCGGACCGAGAGCTGTGCCGATATGGCGCAGAAGCGGCAGGCACCTGACGCACCGACAGTAAGTATTCCATCCCATAACAAATGTATCCCATTCGGCGCATTCCCAACGTACGGTTCCCCTTGCAGTTACCCCCGCGCGATGGCGAACTGAGTCCTCCCCCCATACCGCCCCGACTCAACCATTCCACGGGCACTATATCCGTACGACACAGCCATGGCCAGAGCAAGGAGTTCGCGAGTTCGTGCAAGAGCGGCCTACTCCTGCCCAACACAAGCAGTATTATGATACGCAGGAACTCGGCGATCGAGAAGCGGGCAGCAGCGGCTGCCCAGCAGCCTGGTCCGACTGCAGTGGCGACTGCAGCTGCTTTGGCGGGGTCGGTGATGGGGTCCATTAACACGACGTTGGTCACAGTATCACAGTCAGTGCCGACTGAAGAGCAGCCTCCGCAATCGATCTCGCCAGCACTGAGCTCCTCGACAACTACATCTCCGCTGACACCCGCAACGCCCATCTCCCCGAACATTCCCAGCCATCCAGTGGAGAGTACGTCAAGCGGTTATACGCACCAGCTTCGTTTAAGGCCCCAGCAGCAGCAGTCGCAGCAAGCATTGTCGCATCCAGCGGCGTATGCACAGCACCATCATACCCACCACACGCACCATCCACCCCACCACCATCAACAATATCAACAGCATCAGCAGCATCAACAGCATCATCAACAGCAGCATCAACAACATCATCAACAGCATGCAAATCAATTACACACACGCTCGTCCCCAAAGGAATTCTTTCCGATTGCCACGAGCCTCGAGGGCACACCCAAACTTCCACCAAAACCTAGTCTAAGCGCTAACTTCTATAACAATCCAGGTTAGTTTTGCTCAATTCTCATTCCACTCAATCGAATATAATTCGAATTGCATTCCACACAGATAAAGGTACGATGTTTCTTTACCCAAGTACAAACCAAGAATAATATAATTGCCTGGCGATGTGATAGGACAAACGAAACTGCGATCCGATCATATTAGAGCATGCTGCAGCAAATGCAGACACATACATATAAGTACCATGTACATGAAACGTGCGATATTGCGCATGTATGGTATGTACAATTTGTAGGTATTCAGTGCATACATATACACATATATGCTAAAACGGACCGAGTTGGATCTGATGACTTGTATTATTCGAAACTCATTGAACACACTACCCAACCACACAACACCCAGCACCCACCACCCACCATTCGTTGACACTCAGTCATGTCACACCCAATAAACGAAAAATGCAAATACCGAAATTATGTTATTATATAATTCTTATTATAAATATTTGTAAATATCGAGAACATTGTATTGATCGTAGAACGTAAACAAAATAAATCATAACACTATTGTTAGACAGTTGGCCGATGTCTTTTACTGTGCTACGTTACATCTTTTATCCCTGGCACTTATACGCAAATCACTGTACTTCCTATTCCTCAATCGCCTCTGTCTCAGCCTCAATCCCAAAACGTAACCAATAAATTTTAGTCCGATCTTTAGGAAAGTTTTATATACATCCTTTTGGGATGGTAACATACTAGGTATCATTAGGCATTTTCCACGAACTTAGAGTGAAACCCTACTGCAGAACACTAAGCCCAGGCTTAATGGCTATTACGGTATACCTTAAGTTTAGCTATTTCCAAGGCTGTCTTTCGAGTGTAGCCTCTTGTTGCCGCCTATCTTGGTGACCTCTCCACTTTCAAAGACTTCTAGGCATTCGTTAAAGTAGGGCCGGAGACGGTGCCGGAGCCGGTGCCGCTAACGCTGCCCTTGAGCAAACCACAGAATCAGAAATTCACGGCATCCAGCATAATCATCACCACCATTAAGACACTCGTACATTGCTATTTAGCGCTTGATTGGGAAAGAAACCCCGGGGGAGTCTCGCTTGGAACTAAAGCGATTGTAGACACGGGTCGAGCTAATTGTTTGCTCGGTGCATTCTGAGCAATTAAGCTACACATAAGACTACTACATTGTATGGACATATGTATTTCCTTTCGCTTTTCAAACGTCGCGACGTCATCAAAGCTGAGCACTGAGAAACGCTTCCTGATTTTTTGTGATGACTGCCGTTTGCAGTTGTTTTTGCAATTGAATTATTTTTGTATTTTATCAACGCTCTCCAGCGCGTAACTCAATACTGGCCATCGTGTAAGTCAAGCCCCTTGTCGCGTGCAAGACGAGTTATTAAAGGAGGGATGCACCGCACCAATAACACCAACTGTTGTTATTCCAGAAAACTCCCCCAGATGCCCTCTCGTAATGATGCGTCACATAACCGAAATCGTAAGTACCGATTTGGTAAAGTACCGAAGATTTTACAGATCATATCGGCTGGGATCCGATCAGAATTTTGTTGTCAAGGTGAACAAACCATTGCGGAGAAAACGTCATCATTTCGTTGCAGGCATGTCAGGGAAAGTCCAATTTGTTGGTCAATTCTACAAACGAAAAATTGTATCTTACAGATACATACGAGTATATGTCGCACTGTCCTATAGCATTGCAGGCATTTGGGAATTTTCCGTTGAATGTGCGCCTTTATTTTTAGACAATAATGGTCAAGGCCATTGCCCGAGATCAGTTATGGTACTTTCTATGGGGGCGATGAAACGGACTTTGTGATACTGCTCTTTCGTTTGTCTTCAAACTTGACCAACATCTTGACGGCAATTATCCGATCCGAAGGCAGGCGACCTACACCAAACAATTTTCACGTTCACCACTCATTTCCTCCGACACGTATGAGTACTATCACGTTTCAGCTGTGTCTCAGCAATTTACACAACGCTCCATCCCATCCATTCATCCAAGCTGCAATTGCCTAAAGAATTATTCAATGAATTTGCATTTAATTCATCTGATGATGGCCGCTAATGAGGGAGAAACTCAGCAATCTAAGCAACAACAGCAACTGCAACTGCAACCGCAAAAAGTGCACTCGGAACGATGGAGAAGGAGAAGGAGGAGCAGACTGCACCTCATAATCATCTAATGCAATTACTCGTACATTGTGCCTAACATAATTGTCTTACATGAGCATATCAATTAGTGGACAAAAATTACAATCACAATTACAACAATCTCTAGCGAGAATTATAAATTCCGACAATTGACTGATGTAATGTACCAATGGGACCACAATCTCTAGCTTGAATGTAAAATTCCGGGAACCGGGAACACCAATAACAATAAACTCATGATCGACTCGACCCCACATCATCAGCTTCCCTCAGGAACAGTCACCTGAATCCCGAATGCATCGAGCAACAAGCAGCAAGCAGCTTTCCCCCAACCAAGTCCGAGCACAGCCAGAACCAGATCGGTTGGCATTGTCTTTATGGTAGGTAGCGATCGGCTCGGCTCGGACTCGGATTCGGATTCGGATTCGGACTGGGAATTCGTCTGGGTCTGGGGAAGTGGCGAGCTTTTATAAAAGCGGCAGCAACAGCACAGTTCATTCAGTGTTCACTCAGAATCATTGTCAAGTGCAAGCAGCAACAGCAGCAGAAACAGCAACAGCAACTGCAACGGCGGATCGGAGCAGGAACAGAACATTGTTACAGAACAGAACGAACATCAACAAGAGTCGGAACCAAAGCATTAGCCAAGTGATTTCTCAGTGTACACATTAGCCATCAGACAGATAGACAGAGTGCCAACAAAATGCTGGCCAGTGAGACTTTTCCCGCACATCGCTTCAAGGAATCTATATTTAAGCCTTACAGCACGAGTGGCTCGGCCAGCGTCGATGATTTGGCAAGCGTTAACAAAACATTGACATCCGCGGCGACCACGTCGTCATCGCCTGATACTCATGCAGCCGTTGACATCGCGCCCACTGCATCCTCAGTCGAGTTCGAGACTGCCCGCAAAATGTTGACCAACAACAGCAGTAGCAGTAGCAATAACAGTAACAATAATAACAACAATAACAATAACGATGCCAAGGATGATATATCTGGTTTCGTGGCCAGCCATCCGGCAGCCCCATTCGAGGGCTTCATCCGTGCCTGCGTCGACGAGATTATCAAGTTGGCCGTCTTCCAGGGTACCAACCGATCCACCAAAGTCGTGGAGTGGCACGAGCCCGCCGAGCTCCGCCAGCTCTTCGACTTCCAGCTGCGCGACAAAGGGGAGCCGCAGGAGAAGCTACGAGAGCTTCTGCGCGAGACCATACGGTTCTCGGTGAAGACCGGACATCCGTACTTCATCAATCAGCTGTATTCGGGCGTGGATCCCTACGCCCTGGTTGGCCAGTGGCTCACCGACGCCCTGAACCCCAGTGTCTACACGTACGAAGTGGCGCCTCTGTTCACGCTGATGGAGGAGCAGGTGCTGGCCGAGATGCGTCGCATTGTGGGCTTCCCCAATGGGGGCAAGGGCGACGGCATCTTCTGTCCTGGCGGTTCGATAGCCAACGGTTATGCAATCAGCTGTGCGCGCTACACATACGCGCCCGAGTCCAAGGTGAGTACACCTCCAACTGCCTGCCCCATCGGCCCATCCATCTCGCCTACCACTCACGCCGCAGACAAGTGGTTTCCCTGCTGTCGCTCGATGCACAGCAACACGGAAACACGAGTGCACAGTCCTCAGCTCTGACCTAGCGCCTCCCCCATTAATGGCAACTGGTACTCGTACAGTGGTGGTCAAATTGTTAGTCGGGCATGGGGCACGATATATGTATATGATGCAAGAAACTGAAATCGAAAGTGTTCCCCATCGAAATACTGTAGGATTAATTCATATAAAAATCGACAATCCTTCGACTATTTTATTTCATATGATATAACAAGACTTCATAAAAAATTAAAAAAATATTATTCTTACGCCTTCATAGCACTGCGAGTATTACTGAATAATTATAAACGGATAATTTATGCGTTCCACATAGTTTAGAGATTTTTCTGGCACGTTTCCTTGATTTCCAAGACTTTAAACAGGGATAAAAAAATTTAAAAAATATTATTCCTTCGTCTTGATGGCACTAGAAATATTACTGAATAATTATTAAGAGATATATTATGCTTTACACATAATTTAAAGATTTTCAATCACGTTTGCAAGATTTTTCACACTTAATACATTTTCATAGCGTTAATCTCTTCAGCAATCGTCCTTAAGTTATAAATGCAATAATATTTGATATTGATATTTCCCTAGCTTATTCTTAAGAATAGTTATCCATTTTTAATTATCATAATGCTTATCCATTTATATCCAGAAAAACGGACTCTTCAATGCCAAACCTTTGATTATATTCACATCGGAGGATGCGCATTATTCGGTGGAGAAATTGGCCATGTTCATGGGTTTCGGAAGCGAGCATGTGGTCAAGATAGCGACCAATGAGGTGGGCAAGATGCGTCTGAGCGATCTGGAGGATCAGGTTCGGCGGTGCCTGGACAATGGCTGGCAGCCTCTGATGGTCTCGGCCACGGCCGGCACCACGGTTCTGGGCGCCTTCGATGACTTGACAGGGATCGGGGATCTGTGCAGGAAGTACAACATGTGGATGCACGTAGATGCGGCATGGGGAGGCGGTGCGCTGATGTCTAAGAAGTATCGCCATCTGCTGAACGGCATCGAACGGTGAGTTTTACCCGAAGAAGGATTCGGACGGACTGGTTGAGGTTGACGTGTGGCTAACTCGTTTTCAGGGCTGATTCGGTGACGTGGAACCCCCACAAGTTGTTGGCCGCCTCGCAGCAGTGCTCCACCTTTCTGACACGCCACCAGCTGGTCTTGGGCCAGTGCCACTCCACCAATGCGGCGTACCTGTTCCAGAAGGACAAGTTCTATGACACCTCCTACGACACTGGGGACAAGCACATCCAGTGCGGACGCAGGGCGGACGTCTTCAAGTTCTGGTTCATGTGGAAGGCTAAAGGCAACCTGGGCCTGGAGTCGCATGTGGAGAAGGTCTTTCGCATGGCCGAGTTCTTCACCGCCAAGGTCCGAGAGCGGCCCGGCTTCGAATTGGTTCTGGAGAGTCCCGAGTGCACCAACATCAGCTTCTGGTACGTGCCCCCCAGTCTCCGGACGATGGAGCGAGATCGGGAGTTCTACGACAAGCTGCACAAGGTGGCGCCCAAGGTCAAGGAGCGGATGATAAAGAAGGGCTCCATGATGATCACATATCAGCCGCTGCGCCAGCTCCCGAACTTCTTCCGTCTGGTGCTTCAAAACTCGTGTCTGGAGGAGTCGGATATGATCTACTTCCTCGATGAGATCGAGTCCCTGGCCAAGAACTTGTAGTGGCGAGCAAGATATTATTTAAGAGCTGAAGCCGAAGCTGGTTATTTGGTTATGTGGTTAAGTGTTGACAAACATTCTCTCTAGGCATATGCCGTATATGTATGTGAATTGTATAGTATCTCGTAGTATTTCCTTTACTGCATCCGCTTAAAAATAATATTGGAAATTAAGTATTACCTAAAAGCAAAAATACATATAATATTTATAGGTGATTTGAGTTAGATTGAACGAGATGGACCATTCTCATGGCTGAGCATGGGCTTCATCCGCCTAAAACCAAAACTGAAGGTATGTTAGCCGAGGGTTTGCAATTAGCTGACACTCTCTCACTCCACTACTACCCTTACAGCTATTCGTAACAAATTAATTGGTAGAAGATTTCATTATTCCCCTTCTTGCTTAGTACTGGGCAATCCCCCCTCTAAAGTGGACACTCAACCTTTTTATACCCGATACGCAAAATGAGTATTGGGGTATATTAGATTTGTGGTAAAACTGGATGTGTGTAACGTCCAGAAGGAATCGTTTCCGACCCCATAAAGTATATATATTCTTGATCAGCATCAATAGCCGAGTCGATTAAGCCCTGTCTGTCTGTCCGTCCGTACCCTTCAGCACCTAGTGCTCAAAGACTATAAGAGCTAGAGCAACGATGTTTTGGATCCAGACTTCTGTAATATGTCACTGCTAAAAGAATATTTCAAAACTTTGCCCCGCCCACTTTCGCCCCCACAAAGGGCGAAAATCTGTGGCATCCACAATTTCGACGATACGAGAAAACTAAAAACGCAGAATCGATGACTATATCTTCTAGAGTGCAAAATCTGAACCAGATCGTATAATTATTATAGCCAGAATCAAGAAAACAATTTCATTCTTTCTCGCCCTGTCTCTCTCTAACACACAGGTTTCATGGTCGGTTTTGCCAATTACAAAATATGAGTTCAAGGATCTCAGAACCCATAAGAGCTAGAGCAACCAAATTTGGTATCCACACTCCTGTGATATCGGACCTTGACCGTTTTGTGTCAAAATTTCGCCACACCCCCTTCCGCCCCCGCAAAGGACGATAATCTGGGGCGTCCACAAAACTCAGAGACTATTAAGGCTAGAGTAACCAAACTTAGTATTCGCACTCCTGTTAGATCTCACTATAAAACGTATATCTCAAAATTTCGCCCCACCCCCTTCCGCCCACACAAAGGACGAAAATCTGTTGCATCCACATTATTGCAGATTCAAGAGAACTAAAAGCGCAGAATCATAGATAATGACCATATCTCTCAGATTGCTTAATCTGGATCAGATCAGATATTTTTTATAGCCAAAGGAACAAATCAATTTGCAATGGCTACGCAGCGCCCGACGTCACGCTCAGACTGATTTTCTGTCTCTCTCGCACGCACTCTTTGTCGTGTCGTTTAATATTAGCAGCGTCTGCCGGAAGAGAGCCATACTGACTTAGTATCGGGTATAACTGTAGAGTTGCGGTGTCCGCAGCAGCTCACAACGTTCCCCCTCGTTTTTTGTGTAAATGAGTATCCCAGCCGGTCCCTCAGCTTAATTGGTAGGCGGCGCCACGGAGTGTTCACGCGCCATTCCTGGTGGGACGATCCGACTAGGTCGTCTCTGAGCGTTTCTTTGTTTGAATTAAATTCTAACGACACTCCGCCATAATGGATCGTGGCAGCGCTTATGAATTTATCATAAGTTCACGTGACAAGATATTTTTTAAATGTTTTTGAACAAATATGTCACCAGGGATCAAGCTAGCGAAGACTTAGATACATATTGAATGGAGGAACATTGGGAGGAACGGAGGCCAGCACAGCCTTGTGAAAGTCGTAGGTGATGTATCGATGGTACTGCCTGGTACGGCGGTGCAGTTCGGCAACAGTGCCGGACAGAATAATGAGTTGGGTTCAGTTTTCTGGCTGGTTTAAGTAGAGTTCGTCGCCTGTAAGCAGTCCAAGCACACTTCATTAAAGCGGTAGTACAGAGGCTGCACCAATGTGGTTCCAAAAGCACTGCGCTGCCAAGAGTACTTTAAGAGGTCTTTCCAACGTTTTTTAATCAATTGAAACTGAGTATATGTTAATATTATTAATAAAACAAGCTATTAAACGATCGCATTTCTCTTCTACCGTCATCGTATTCTCCAAATCCAGATGCCCATGCTCATCAAGATGATTTTCTTGTGCTTTTCCGGCAGCATAGCAAAAGCCAGAGATCTATGATTGCCTTAATCAGATTGATGGCCCACAGATCAGCAATATTCCGCTTCAGATCGTCGGTCTATATCTTGTATATAATAAGAAAATTGCACTCTTTTCGAAGACACCACTTTTCCTCATCAGCGATCTTTTATTTTTCAAGTATGTCGTCATTGTTTGTCCAGCAAGGTATCACGTCCTAAGACAGTGTCGTCACTATTTTTCGAAAGACGGTAGGGCGGACCCATCCCGGATCCGCGGTGGGTGGAAAATCGCCTCTCATAGCCGATACCTTGGCAGAGTGACTATGCAATCTTGCGGCTGCTCAACCTGCCGAAACCTACACATGCGCCGAAAGGACAACATACTCCGGCGGCAAAACGTGGCTGAAAAAGGTTGAGTGGGCTTCGAAGGTGTTGTCGAAAGGGCTCCTCAGCCAAAGAGGCAACGCACGCAGGAGACTCCTGGGCCGGCACCGAGCTTTTGGAGAAGCAGCCCGGAACGTCTGCAAAGATATGGGAAGGTACCAGGGCTGGATCAATATTATAGCCTGCTGTAGAAAGCAACGGTAGCGCAAGTTGGAGAGGTCTATCCAAGGGGTGAGTCACTTTTCAGCTTCATCTTAACTCAATTTTATTCAGTTGTAATCGGGGCAACGAGTTCAAAATCGACAGGAGGTTATTGTCCCCACCACTGTGTCTCACAAACTGTTAAGAGTTTGATAGTCCTAGAGGACTAGAGAGGGAATAGAGGAAGCGTCAGAGGCCGCAAGTCTTCGCAAGATCCTCTCAAAAATCACCATCTCAGTAGCTCCAGGGAGGAGTCCCAACATATTCTACTAGACACGCATTTCCTAAGATAGGGACCGGTAACCTCGATGGATCACATCCACACAAAACTGAACATAAGCTGGACAATAAAGAGCTTCAAACCGCTCAAATCGTCAGGCCCGGACCAGGTAATTCCGGCCCAACTTAAGAAGGCCGGGAAAACGGCCATCAACTGGCTACAATGTATGTTCAGGAATATACTGGCTGTGGGCACAATCCCGCAAGCAATCTCTTAAGCAAAAGACTTTAGACTTAAGACCATCTGGAATGCTGACATTAAGTCTCAGAACGCAGGAAAAGAAAGATCCCAAGCGGTATCGCAACGGGGCGAAACTGGTCTAAGTGTGGCAGCCAAATCTACCTACCTAACGTACTTAAGGCTTTTAAGACGCGCTGTTATTCATTCACATGAAAAGGAAATTATTAACATAATAAGCAATTGTAATTTAAAAGAAAATATATATGTATGTATATATCGAAGGAGTTCGAAAGCCAACTAACTACAGAAATAATCATTTTCCCGACCGAAAATGTTGGAGATTTCATGGATCTGAACAGCGGGCGCTCTAAAAAAATATACTTTGGTTTTATGAATTGTATACTCATTCAGGCTGAGCCCAAATGAAAAACCATTATTTAAAATTATAGAAAATAAACATGTACGCACACATATGTACGTGGACGTTGACATGAAATGACTGCATCTTTCAAGAGGCGATGCAATTACTGCGCCGTCAAGTGGCCCGTGTAAAAATACCACTACAATTACTAATTACTAGAAAGGTGTGTAAGGATTAGTAATTTAATAAGAGGAAGAGAATTAGTGGTGGACCCTTGCCCACTTCCGTACTTGCAGGCTCTGTGCCACCAACTTGCAAACCCGGCCCCGGTCGCGGCCCGCCCTTCATACCGTGCTCAGAGCCATACGCATCACTGTCGCCAAAAGGCCAGAATGGCAACCGATACAACAACAACAGCAACAGTGGTAATGCCAACAACAAAGGCCAAGCGAAATTGCACGACCATTGCCAATGATTAAAGGAAATCTTTGTCCCAAGTACACAAAGATACAAGTCTTAACTCGTAACTCGTTCATTTAACTCGTAAGAGCATAGATGGACAAACGGACAATTCATGTACTATAGGTGCTCAAGGGTTTACCCAGGAATCGGTGTATGTACTTGCATATTATGTATGTACATATGTATATGTACTGCAGAGCCTCTCTCTCTCACTCCTCTTTCCTCGTATCGCAATGCAAATTTATTAATTGAGAGTACTAATGTAACGGGGTTTAAATAGCCTGTGGAAAAAATCAAATCTATTAATATATTTGTGTAATATGTTATTAACATATATTTAAAGTATGGTTTTATATGTGCACTGTACACCTACATACATATATATTCATGCAATTTTTAAAATGTAATACCGTACTTCTGGCTGTTACATACTTTTCACCCACACAATATACCCTATTATTTCTTTGAGTCCCTCGCAAAAACACCTTCAACCAACTAATGAAACACACACACAATAAAACACAATGTGCGCGCCAGCGATCAACACATACACATACATGTACGAAGAAAAAATGGTAGACATCAGAGAGAGAGAGAAAAGAAGGAAGCACATAAGAAGCAGCGCAATCAAGAGAGACCCAAGGTGGATGGGGTGAAAATGATTTAATTAAAAGGTGTTCAGACATTAACATGGTAACGATTTATACTAATCGTACGAACAGAGCTAAGCAAATAGTGGGCCATGAGGCGCTAAGATTTTAAGGGGAAATGGCACTGCTGACCTTAATAGATATACAACAGGCAGTCGGATGTACATACATACATATCTAGGAATAAGAATAAAATGTATGATAGGGTAATAACAAATTGGGTATCGGCAGGCCTAAATAAACATTAAAAACTTTATATAAGCCGCACCTTTTGACAAAATAAAACTAGTATGCACCGAAGCCTTCATAGCTGAATTCTTACTTGGTTGGAATTTCTTCCTCCGGTAAAAATAGCTCTGGTCTTTTGGGATCGACTTACACCCGGTTAGGAAAGGGTTGCAGCTCCGGTAGGCCGATATAAGCCACCGTCCGCAAATACCCTATCCCTAAGTACGCACTGCGCTAGGAGGCTTAC